CAACCACTCCTATACAAACTATTGAATAATTGATAAAACGTTTGTTGGTATGTTTTATTCATAGATCTTTGTCCTTATTGCTTACTTCAACCACTCCTATATAACTATTGGATAATTGATAAAACGTTTGTTAGTATGTTTTGTTCATAAATCTTGTCCTTAACACTTACTTCGATCACTCCTACACAACTATTGAATAATTGATAAAACGTTCGTTAGTATGTTTTGTTCATAAATCTTGTCCTTTATCTTTTAAAATGTTTTCCGTATCAGATCAGATCAAACTTCCTTGACTTCAGTAATATAATAGTGAAAAATGCCAAAAGCTAAACAATGCACACTTTGTAAAGAAACTAAAACTGAAATTTTAGAACAATAAATGAAAGAAGAAGGCAACAAGGTAATCATTCTATCATTATTGTTAAATTAATAGTTTTGTATTATATATATCTGTTTCTTATTATTAGATAAATAAATGAATGTGAATAATAGAAACAAGGTGAGCTGTTCTATATATAATTATAAATAAATAGGACACACAAAAGAAACCAGGTTGTTCTATAATTGTTGCTAAATTAATAGTTTTGTATGATATCTTTATTTACATATTTATTTATTATTTATTATTAGATAAATAGGAAAGAAACAAACAATTATTGTTAAATTAATAATTTTGTATAATATATATCTATTACGTGGATGATAATAATTTTGTATAATATGTATATATCTATCTATTTATCTATTTCGTGGATAATGGTTGTTCTATAATTATTGTTAAATTAATGGTTATTAGATAACATGAATAAAAATTTGCTTCTGATATCTATTTGACAAAAACTTGTATATTTTTATAATTGGTTAAACACTGGGCTAGCAAAAATACATGCAACGATTTAGTTGAAGCTCCTTTTCTCAAAAATAAAAAGTTTCTTTAACTTTGTGAAATTTATCAGGCCAATCAAATTTCGTGATAAAATCAAAATATGATTGACGAAAATCATTGCCAATTTGCGAATGTCTGCCATGCTTGTTTTAGCGAGATCACTATCCACTTTTCTCAATACCAGTTCAATTATAATTGTCCGAGGTCCATTCATTACTAGTGCGTGACAGTTTTGGATTCACAAAATCTATATGTGTAACATCGAGTTGTCCCCCCCCCTT